TCTGTGACCCACTGGTTGTTCAGAAGGGTGTAACTAATTTCCATGTGTTTATGAAAAAAAATTTTTTTTTCTTTTGGTACTGGGGATCTAACTTGGGTCCTTGTGCTTGTGAGGCAGGTGGTGGAACCACTGAGCTAAATCCCTGGCCCCTGTTAATGAGTATTTGTGGTTTATTTTGCCCTTGATTTCCAATTTCATTGCACTGTGGTCTTCTAATATGCAAAGGATAATTTCCTTTGCATTTACTTAAGCATGTTCTGTGAGCTAGTATGTGGTCTATTTTGAGAACATCCCATGTACAGCTGAGAAGAATATGTATCCTGATGTTGTGGGGTGGAACACTCTGTAGACATCTATTAAGTCCATTTGTTCAGTGGTTTGGTTCAGTTCTGATATTTCTTTGTGATTTTTTTGTCTACCTGATCTCTCTATTTGTGATAGTGGGGTATTGAAGTCCCCCATTATAACTGTATTATTGCTTATTTGATTTTTCATATCCATTAATATTTGTTTTGTATAGTTGGGTGTACTGTTATTTGGTGCATATATGTTTATGATTGTTATCTCTTCCTCTTGAATTGTTCCCTTAACAAGGATGTAGTGACCTTGTCTCTCTTAATCAGTCCTGGCTTGAAATCCACTTTGTCTGCAAATAAAATGGCTACCCCTGCTTTTTTCCGGGTTCCTGTTCCAGAGCACTGTCATTCTATGCTTTGACTTTCAGTCTATGAATTTCTTTTTTAATTAAATGTATTTCCTGTATGCAGCATATTGTTGGCTATTGCTCTTTGATCCATTCTGCTTCTTTTTACTGGAGAATTGAAGTCACTGACACTGATGGCTTTAACTGATATGTATTGACTTATCCATGTCATATTATTTTCCTGTTGTTGGTTCCCTTTTTTTCCTTGTAAAATTACTTGCCTTACCTGGTGGATTCATTCTGTTGGGGTTAATTTGTTCTGAGAAGTCTGCTGTGATTTTGATGGTCTGTCCTGTATAGGTGATTTGTTTCTTTTCTCTAACAGCTTTTAACATTTGTTCTTATGTCAAATTTCTGGAATCTTGGCTATTATATGCGTTAGTGTAGATTTATTTTTGATTATGGCTAAATCTGTATGTTAAATTCTTTTTTCCATGTTTGGTTAGTTTTCTGCCATTATTTCTGTTAATAGGTTTTTTATGTCATTTGTGGTATCTTCTGCTTTTTCATTGACTCTGTTCAATCTTATGTTATTTCTTTGCATCATCTAGCAGTTGTTAGATTGATTTTTTTGTAATCATTTGTTATTTTCAAGAAATCTTTCTTTTCATGATCGGTAACAGCAATACTGTGTACTAGATCTGATACTCTATCCTAATGTTGGCTCATTCTGTTGCATATACTTTCAACGGAATTTTTAATCTCCTGGATATGTTTGAATCTGTTTCATAGATTCCATTTTTTTTCTATGTTGGGCGTTCGTGATTTCCATCATTCTCCTAAGTGCCACTACTTTAAAATAATCTGCATCTGCTTGTTGGGTGTGGTGGCTCATGCCTGTAATCCCAGCACTCAGTAGGCTGAGGCAGGATGATCGCTATGAGTTTGAGACCAGCCTGGGCTGGGCTACATAATGAGTTCAGTCTCAACTACATAGTGAGACCCTGTCTCAAAAAAACAAACAAACAAACAAACAAACAAAAAAACCCAAAAAAACTGTATCTGCTCTAGAGTCACTAAGCATATCTTTTATTATGGTCACCATCTCTGTAGTTATCTGAGAAACTATTTCTGATTTGATTTTTTTCCTACAGCCTCATTCATCTGCTTTGTTACTTCCACTGTAACCATGTCAGCAAGTCCACTTGGGTGAGTTTGGAATCGTTCCACCTCATTGCTCCCTGGGTTTGTATTTGGCGAGCTGAAAGTCTGAGGCTACATCTTGTTTATGTGTCTTCTCATTTTCTTTTTTTCTTTTTAGTTTAATTCTCTGGTTGATGCCTGTAAATTGCTTATGGCAGGTATCTTATTGCTAGTACTTAAAATCCTTAGGAAATGACTACTCCTCAGAGATGTCTTCTAGGTGCAGCTGGGTTTTGAGTCTGCTGCAAGATCCTACCTCTTCAATTTATTTGAGGATGAGAAGTGCTGCCTATTTGGCCTCAGCTCTGGTTCTTTGGAACTGGCCTACAGTATTTTTATGACCCTTAGGCAATCTCAGTCTTGGCACACCTAGAAGAACAACTGATTAGAACAATTATGTCGCCTTAGCTAAAGTAGTAAATCATCATAACAATACCATCAAACACAGCCTAAGAAATGACAAACTGTGGTAATTATTAACTTGCCATCTTTAACCTTATGAATTATATTTGTAGTTATAAAACAAAAATCTAAAACAAAACAAAATGGTATATAATAAATATTACCTCATTATGGTGATTTTACCCTCAGGAATGAAAATTTAAAAGGGGTTGGAGGAAAAAAGTAGAGAAACAGAAGATCAAGAGATTAGAAGCAAGGACAAAGGAACATAACACAAACTTTAGGAAAGTGATGAAGAAGACAGAAGGGAAACAGAGAAGGAAAGAAGTAAAAACAAGAACAGAACAGAACAACAAAAACACTAGAAACAATATTCACACTCATATGAAAACAAGAATTTAAGAAACTTAAGAAATCTCTGCAATGTAAGTTCTAAATCTTTAGGAAATATAAATTTAACTGCTGTAATTACAATTATTAAAATATAACTACATGTTTCTGTAGGATTCTTGCCATGTTCCCAATGTAATTGTGATAGGATAACTATAATTAAGTAATAGAACTTAAGATTTATTGAAAACCTACTATAGGTGAAGTGCTAAAATACCTAAGTCTTAGGTCTTGACTTCAAGGAGATTACAAATTTAATGGGTATAAAGAAATGCAGAGAAACTGATGGTTAAATTCACTCTTCTGTAAAGCTCTTCTAAAGAAATTAAGGAGTGTACAACTCTGTATTCTGAGTCTCAGTCCATCCTGTATCTATAGTCTGTGAACTAGGGAGTTCCAGATCTACATTATAGAGATTAAAGCTACGTGGTCTTGGTATGTAGTCCACGCCATCCTTGAACTATGTGTAGCCCAGTCTGGCTTTGAACTTTCTCCTCCTGCCTCTGCCTATTTATTTATTTATTTATTTAGAGACAGAGTCTTGCTTTTGTAGTGCAAGCTGGCCAGAAATTTGCAGTGATCTTTCTGTCTCACCTCCTGAGTGCTGGGATTACAGGTATATACCACTGTGTTCAGCTAAAATTACACACACACACATACACACACACACACACACACACACACACACTGTGTGTGTAACTCTGTGTTATATATGATACTAGATAGTGAACCCAGGGACTTCACACTGAACTACATCTCTAGTCCTTTCCCATTTTGAGACAGGGTCTTGCTAAGTTGTTAAATTGCCCAGGCTAGCCTTGCACTTGCAATCCTCTTACCTTAGCCTCCTACAGTGCTAGAACTACAGATGTGTATTACCACTCCTGGCTTAAAATTTAAGCACAACCTTGCGCTTGTGAGCCAGGTGTGGTACCACTGAGCTAAATCCCTGGCCCAAAATTTACAGTATTATTAAAAGAATAATACACGTAAGGAAACTTGGCAAGTTGAAGTAAAGTCTACATAAAATGAAAATCTTCTAAAGCAATGAATATTCTTCATTACATGACTCTTTGTCTCCTCAAAGTCCCCAGTGTTCCCTATGGAATATATCAGATGGTTCCATAATTTTGCTCTTTGATTACCCAATACTTTTTTTATGGCTTGTTTTGTTTTTGGAGATAGGATTTTGTTGCATAGTCCAGGATGTTCTCAAACTCGTGACCCTCCTGCCTATGGTCCTCAGGCATGCACTGCCATGCCGAACATTAGGGATCTTCTTTCATTGTGCAGTTTTTGAATTATGGCAACACTTGAATCTTATTTATTTATTTATTTATTTATTTATTTTTGGTTTTTTGAGACAGGGTCTCACTATGTATTTGAGACTGCTCTGGAACTCACTGTGTAGCCCAGGCTGGTCTCAACCTCACAGCGATCCTCCTGCCTCAGCCTCCCGAGTGCCATGACTACAGGCAAGTGCCACCACATCTGGCTCTTGATTCTTTTTTAAATCTATGTAAAACTAAATTTGAGTTTTTTTCTTTCTTTTTGTCCTGTGAAACTGAAGTTGAACTCAAGTAAAACAAAATTTGAATATGCTTTTTAGTTTAATAGTTATTATCCCTTAAGGTATCCTAAGCTCTCCAAACTAAATTTCTCTTTCCTTTTCCCTTTCAATTCCCCACATTTTTCTAGGCATTGTGGCACACACCTATACTCCCAGCACTCAGGAGGCTAAAGCACAAGGATTTCTAGGAGTTCGAGGCCAGTCTGGGCTACATACTGAGTTCAAGGCTAGTCTCAACTACATAATGAGACCTTGTCTCAAAAAAACCAAAACAAACAAAAAACCCCACAAAATCAATTCCCCACATCTGGCATGCTTCAGGTCAAACCAATGTTTATTTCAGGGAATTAAAATTGTACACTTTTATATTATAGAGATGTGAAATAACATTTTTGGCTGAGTTGTGTGGTTTATGTGCACTACCACATTTTGATTTAAATGATTTCAACACTCAGTCAAAAGACTGTCATAATTTCAGTGGTTTTCTAGTCACAGTCAATAAAATAAAGAAAAAATATTGTCTCCATGACTAAGCAAGTCTTAAAGTGAGTGGTTAGGAAGTTGCTTCAAAATTTTAAAACTGCACATAAAAAAACTAGTGACAGAAACATCTGTTCTAAGCTAGAATCTGCAAAATGATCAATAAATTGTGAAAAAGAAAAGTTTTGCTTACATCAGCTACATTAGCTATTTTAGACACCTGGAATAATATAATTCACTTTAAATCCTGTAGAAGACTTAGGAAAAAAAAAAAAGATTTAGAGTAAGATAAATATTGTCTTTAGTTCTTACCTTGTGGCTATAAGAGGGTAGCTATGACACGGTGATGCCCAGGCATCTCTTGTCCATGGCATACAGTCATAAAGCAGCAAGTCTTTCTCTGTCACAGCCATGAGGACAGGTCTCCACTGCTGTCTTCCACCATCTAGTTTTGCCTGTTACAATGGTGAAATCCAGACATCAGAACTAACTGCAATGCTAAATCTTTCCTAGGAACTGACACGTTTTGTTTCTTCAACCTGATAGACACAGGAAATATTTCTTCAGGAGCCTTCCCACCAGAAGGGATTCTCCGTTGAGAGGTGTGAGGTATTGTGTATATCTGAAAAAGCTCCCCTGACTTCCAGCGAGCTGTAGACATCACCTAGTGATATGGCAGTTTTTCCCTATTCCATAATAATTATCACTGGTTCTAATTAAATACATAATATGTTCAAGTTTATAATAGATGTAGCACAGTGAGTAATATATTTCAAGTACAGGACAGAAATTACTGCTACCTATTCCTAGCAAGAGGATAGAAAAATCTCCCTCCTAAATAAGTCTGTATAATCTAAACAGTAATTTTCTTTAATCAAGACCTAAAGTAAGAAATACATTTTACAATGCAACCCATTCCACATATACATATATATGATTGTTTTGAATATTTTCAAAACATTGGATATATTCTCATTGCACCCTAATACACATAATAGAAGTGAAAAAAAAATTTTTTTTTTTGGTACTGGGGATCAAACTCAGGTCTTTACACTTTAGGCAGGTGGCACAACCACTGAGCTAAATCCCTGGCCCTAGAGGTGAATTTTAAAAAATACTTTCCAATGTATTTTGGAATATATTGAATATATCCCAAAATAACACAACCATACAGTTTATGCATTATACTCTGATATTTCTATTCTATTTTTTAAAAAAATGCTGACCATGATGTACTATGTTATACACTGAAAAGAGTAATCCATCATATTTTCAGAACTGTATGTTTCAAGTTTAAATGTACCATTGTGTTTACCTGCGTAAAGTACCACCAGGTGCCAATTACCACCAGGCAAGGTTGTACGCTCCTACAATCTCAGCATTTGAGAGGCTGAGGCAGGAGGATCACTATGAGTTCAAGCCCAGCCAGGTTACAAAGAACAACAAAATACTTCAGTTACCTATGTGAAAGTTTTTTTTTAAACAACCACACCAAACAAAATACCACAATAGGAAACAACCACTATCCATATTGTCATGGATTCAAGCCCCAAAATAAAAAGGCTTTGTTCAAGAAAAACCCTGTCTTCATCCAAACTTTTATACTCCTTAGACAAGAACTCTGAGGAGGGACTGCTTAACAATATTGTATTTTATCCTAGTTTAGCATATATATCCCTAATTTGAGTCTTTATGCAATTTGTGAATTATTAGGAACAAAACAGGAACTGTTCCAAACAAAGCCTTTCTCTGGCTGTCTGAGCTTTTCCTATCATTTCCTAAGTGCTTTTAAAAACTGAATTTATAGGTAAGAGAGGTTTTCTCTTTGGTGAGCTCTGTTATATTACAGCTACTTTATCCTAATATCCTTTTTCAGTTCTAGAATACATTACATTGCATTATGTTGCCATATCTTCTTTTTTCCTTTTTTTTTTTTTGTACCGTGGATTGATCTTGGGACCTTGTGCTTGTAAGGCAGGTGGTGGAACCAATGAGCTAAATCCCCAGCCCTAGTTGTCATATCTTCTTAGTCTACTTGGGTCTAAGATGACAATTTCTCTTTCCTTTTTGTTTTTTAATCTAAATTTAAATTTTCTTTTTCATTTTCAGAACTGGGAATCAAACTCAGGGACTTGTGCTTGCAAGGCTGGCATGGTGCCACCGAGCTAACTTCCCAGCCCTTTCCTTTTTTTTTTTTTAATGAGCTTAATAGTTTGTTATTTTGTTTTTGTTTTTTTGTTTTTTTGTTTTTTTGAGACAGGATCTAGCTATGTAGCCCAGGCTAGCCTTGAACTTGTGGCAATCCTCCTGCCTGGCTCCCGAGCTCAACAGTTTTGAGAAGTACTAGTCAGACATTTTGAACAGAATGCCCCTCAATTTGAGTTTGCCCGAAGTTTTTCTCATAACTGTAGGGTTATGAGTTTTTCTCATAGGCTGTAGGGACAGTGACATGGGAAGTTGGAGCATGTCAAAGCTGACTGGGGAAGTAGAGGTGACCTATTAATTATAAGATCTTGGAACACACACACAGAACAGTTCCCAAAGCCCTGCATGTGGACTTCTCCAAAGAAATCGAGCAGGTTTTCAATAGGATGATCTAGACCTGAGCTGTGGGATCCTTAGGACCCATATGCAGAAGTTCTTGTGGGTTTCCTCCAGATTTGGATAGCATAAAAGAACACACATACCAAGAAGAGTTTGCTGTGTGGCTTTCCTCACCAAAGCCTGCCCCCCTTCCCATATGGTGTACTTTTATCTTACTTTTTCCGTTTTACTCAGCCCAAGCTCAATCAGCTAAGCCAGTTTTCCCTTACTCTTCACTTTTACTTTTTCAAATAAACTTTTTGCCACTGCTTTTTGTTCATTTTGTTCAATTCTTGAAGATAAGAAGTACCTGGACTCTAACTCCAGAAGGAGAGATAAGCAACCCAGAATGAGTAACATTTATTTGGCAAGCTACTTTTAGAAGGAGCTAGGGCTGGGGATTTAGCTCAGCAGTTCTGCCGCCTGCCTTGCAAGCACAAGGACCCGAGTTCGATCCCTGGTACCAAGAAAAAAAACAAACAAACAAACAAAAAACATAGAAGGAGCTAGCTGATAACAATAGGGTTTCAGTAAAGCACCGGAGTGGCAAAGTCCCTTTCACATCATTCCCACCAGGGTACATGCTATCATCATTCATCGCTAGTGATTTACCCGATCACTTGGCTGAACAAGCTTATTCTAAGATTTATTTGGAAATGAAAAGGATTCATAGTAGCAAAAGCAATTTGAAAAATAAAGAGTAAAGGACCAGGGATTTAGCTTAGTGGTTCTGCTGTTTGCCTCGCAAGTGCAAGGTCCCAAGTTTGATCCACTGTACCAAAAAACAAACAACAACAACAACAACAAAAAGAAAATGAAAAATAAGAGTAAAGCTGGAGGATTTATACTATCTAACTTAATACAAAGCTATGGTAATAAAAACATTGAGGAAATGGCATAAGGTGAGACATCTGGGGTGAACACCTTTTCTGAGAGTAAAATTTGATTTGGGTATTCCATACAACTACTTTAAAAAAATCAAAAGTATTTTACAAACAGTTCTAGCTGAGCATGGTGCCACAAGCCTATAATCCCAGCACTTGGGAGGCTGAGGCAGGAGGACTGCCACAAATTCAAGGCTAACCTAGGTTACATAGTAAGTTTGAGGCCAGCCTGAACTGCAGAGTGAGACCCTGTCTCAAAAACCAAAAACCTAGCAACCAAAGAAACAAAACAGTTCTTTAAATTAGTTTAGCAACACTATTTTTAGAGTGGTTGAAATTTCTCTACTTACTATTTCCCAACACCATGCTTGTGTTCTTAAGGCAATAATTCATAAATATTTTTATTATTATTATTATTATTATTCTTGGGGGGGGGCGTTGAGACAGGGTCTCACTATGTAGTTCAGACTGACCCAGAACTCACTATGTAGCCCAGGCTGGTCTTGAACCCACAGCAACCCTCCGGCCTCACCCTCCCGAGTGCTGGGATTACAGGTGTGCACCACCATGCCTGGCTTAAATATTTTAATTATAAAATTAGGAATTTGCTTGGTCTTTGTATGTATGCATGCATGTATGTACGTATGTGTGTATGTTTGTATGCAAAGAAAACAAAACTGGCTGAGAACAGTAGTGCACTACTATAATCCCAGATACTCAAGAAGCAATTTAATAATATCCTGTTTCTGAAATAAAATTTAAAAGGGGCTGGGATGAAGCTCTGTGGCACAGCACCTGCCTAGCACACACAGGTTCTGGGGCACAATCTCCAGTACTGAAAAATGTAAATAAATTGTTAAAAATTGAGCATTTGGGCTGGGGATTTGGCTCAGTGGTTCTGCTGCCTGCCTTGTAACTGCAAGGGCCCAAGTTTGATCACCATTACAAAAAAAAAAAAAAAAAAATTGAGCATTTACTATAAACAAACCACCTGGTGAAAACTGCAGGCAATAAAGACTTGGAAAAAAAATGTGTTCCTGCCTCTTGTGCAAGAGCACCCAGATGAGTGGTGGGAAACACACACATAAATATATCCATAAACAGCAGACTGTGATAGGCTGATGGCTTTACTTTTTTTCCTTTCTGGCACAAACCTAATTAAGTTCACTAAAAAAGTCTGACAACTCTCAAACACTGCTGATGAGAATCTAAAGTAGTATAGCCAAATTGAAGGCAACTTGGCAATATTTATCAAAATGACAAATGTTTATAACTTTTATGGTAGTTTTAAATATGCCCTTAAAGACTTTACTACTCTTCCCTTTAACAGGTGGAGCCTGAGCTCCTTGCATATCAATGTAGGTTTGGCCCAATATTGTTTTGCTTTCTTTCTTTTTTTCTTTTTTTTTCTTTTTCTTTGGTACCGGGGATTGAACTCTGGTCCTTGCGCTTGTCAGGCAGGCAGATGAACCACTGAGCTGAATCCCTGGCCCTAATGTTGTTTGTCGAATGAAAGAAGAAAGCAGAATAACAGTGTGTGACTTCTGAGACTATGTCAGAAAAGGCACTGTGGCTTCTGTCTCACTCTGTCTCTCAGATTATTTGCCAAGGGGAAAAAAATAGTCATGTCTGAGGACACAGAGGTAGCCCCAGGGAAAGGCCCATATGGCAAGGAAGTGAGGACTTCAGCAAAGAGCCAGGAAGAAACTGAGACCTCCTGCCAGCCACATGCATAATCCTCTTGGAAGTGGGCTGGCCACCTCAAATCAAGCCTGCACATGAATGCCACCTCAAACTACATGAAACATCCTGACTGAGAACTACCAGCTAATCCTCGACCAGATTCCTGATCCTTAGAAACTCTGTGAAGTCAATGTTGCTATTTTAGGCCAATAAATCTCGGGGATGCTTTGTCATGTAGTGGTAGATAACTGATTTGCTCTTTGACCCAGCACTTCTAGGGATTTATCCCACAGGTTTTCATAGAA